ATAACTGAATTTACAAGAGTGAGTCTGAAATGAAAACATGGCGAGTTTTGTATCATTTCTTTTACTTTATCAGATTTGTGAGGAAGCGGTTCTGGTCTTACTCCGATTTTTGGGACCATAGTCTGCCTGCTTCAACTTCTTCGCGCCGTCACTAATTCTTTTAGCGAAGTTCAAAACCCTATACTACATCTGGACTTATTAAGAAATCTATAAATTCATTAATTCTGTACTTTCTTAACAGCATATACGTCTGGTATTTTGAGTTAATGTTGATATTTTATTGAACAAAACTCGCTATTGAATTTGATTTGGTGGTCGCGGTTAAAGTACAACCCAATACCATATTTTAAAAATAATATTTTTTTCATTTAAATCGTTCGTAGGCATTTCAAATCACAAATGTCTCTGTTTTGCAGAATCATAGTATATGCGGAGATTATAGTAGAACAATTCAAACTCTATTCTTATAATATGTGTACTTTATATGAGAAATATTCGTCGAATATGTAATTTAATTGTTGAATTACATCAATGAGACAGTCATCATTATTACAACAAGTATCATTATTGTTTATATTTTACTCTTTTTTAGCATTTTTAATATAACCATGCGTGCGAGCATAGCTTTAATGTTATTTCTGGTAATTCTTGCAGCCATTTTCATGAAAACTAGCAATGCCCGTCAGCTGGCTTTCAATGATGACGATTTTGAAACATCAAATTCAAGAGCAAGATCATTCTTAAATGGTGATGATGATGATGATGATGATACTTACATACAAAGACGTGCTGGAACCTGTATAACATGCAGTAAATTAACACATAGCCAATGTTGTCATCCAGATATTTGCATAAAAAAAGTTTTTCATAATGAATGTATGAAAATTAAAGCACGTAAGTAATCAACAGAAAGAACTACTACAATAACAAAGACACATCAAATGGTCGTTGATTGAAAATAAAACGACGTATTAAATATTCTATTGACAACATTACAAAAAGCCTATTTTCTATTGCTTATTCCCGTTTTACGAGTATACAGTTAACATCCGTAACCTAACTTTAATCCTACATCTTGTACATGTAAATCTGTTTATTTAATAAATTTACGGCCCGAACTCGATGCGTTTAGGGAAATAAATCAGAATCTCTAAAAGAAACACATCATTTTTGAAAATTTCAAATGAAAAAATCCAAAAAAGTCCTAGCGAAAAAGAGTCGATATTTTCTGTATGCGCTATACAGATATCGGTGTATACCTGGTAACCAATGAATTTTTACAAAATCAAATAGTCAGTTTTAGTCCAGTTGCAAGCTTTGATGTTCTACACAAGATAGACATCCTCACGTCTGGACTATTTAAATGGAAAGAAGAGAAAACAAGTACATTGGCATCGTTTTTGTACAAAACCGACTGTGGGAATGCTGAATTACTATCCATTTCGAAATACAATGGCACTATCTATTTTTTAATAACTCGAACACAAAGACTCGTAGAAAGATGTGGCATTTGCATGTAATGTGTCCGGAATGCGAAAATTGAGTACAATTTTTTTCCGGCTATTTACACAAGGTTAGATAGAGTACATCGAGCTGAGTAGAAAACATTGACTATTAATTTTTTAAACAAGAAAAATTGAAAAAATTCGAAGGCCCTTCGAAAAATCCTTCAGTTTCAAGAAAGTTCAATTATTTCTCTTTTTCGCTCTTTTAACTTTTTGACGGTATTTCTCAGATTTGGCATTAAAAACTGTGCATGAATCTGACGTTCGAACGAGGTTGAAGTTAATGGTCTATCCACTATGGGCGCCTAGAGTCCTACTGTAAAAAGTTCATAAATAATTTTTTAAAACTATCTAGTTTATTTTAGAAAAAGATGAAATCAAACTTTTGCTTCATTAGAACTGCTATTGAACGAGATTTAAAAGTATGTATCGCTTTTTATATATTTATTTTGCTTTGTCACTGAGAAAATTAATTTTTTTCTAAATCATGATCGAAAAAATGTATTCAGAAAAAAATAAATATATAAAAAGCAATGCGTACGTTTAAATCTCGTTTAATAGCGGCTCTAGTGCTATAAAAAGTCGACTTCATCTCTCGGTCTCATCTTTTCTGAAACTGAAGGGTTTTTCGAAATTTTAGACCCTTCGAATTTTGCAATTCTTCTTCTTTAAAAAATTAAACGCCAATTTCTTTTACTCAACTCGATGTGCTATGTCTAACCTTGTATAAATATTCGGGAAAAAATTGTGCTCGATTTTTGCATTCTGGGCACCTTAGATGCAAATGACACAGCATTTATGAGCGTGACGAAGAGAAAAAAGGAATTATCCAAGTTATTCAAGCATACAATTCAGTTTAGTGCTAGTGAGCCTTTCCCACTAAGACGATTTGTCTAACTAACTGCTTCGGTAAATACAGGAAAGATTCCACAAAGATTCCACGAAGAACGATATCTCAAAATTATTCGTTGATTTTACTGGTGAAAATCTTAGTAGAGATATTCTTCGATGAAGAGTAGGTAGGTGTTCCTGAAAATATCGGTGTATCGAATAATCTGTCTAACTGCTGTACCATATCTTCAACATAGGCCATAAGCTCTAAAACGATGACTGTTTCTCATATCATTGCCATTTGCCCGGAATAACTAGCTACCAGTTTTCTATTAGGTAACGGTGGAGTATATATTTCAACATGAAAATTCCATTTATCAGTATCATTAGAATTACATATGCTGTATCCTCTAATCGATGGGGATACTATTGTTGGTAGCTTAATGTTGTTTGACCAGGAACCAATATTAAAACTATAACATACTGAATGCATACCAAAACCATTCACAAAATTATTATGATCAATCAATGGATATGTGTCTAAGTGGATGTTTAATTTAATATTATTTTTTAAAAATTTTGATGTTTCTACTAATAATTCATCTCCTTTTTGATTTAAAGATTGTTCACTTTTTAATGTATAAGTTTGATTTGTATCTATATTATGAAATTCTCGGATCCATTGTTCAGTCATTGGTTTATTTAATTCAACGATTGATTGAGAAAATTTACCGTTAGAAATATTGTTAGTTGGTAGACGTGCTATTCTACACATTAATATAGCCATGTAACTATTCCCAATTTGTACTTGAACTGTTCCAACGGCTTTTCTTATTAATAATCGACATAAATTTGATTGATGAATTTGGTGGAATACTAATAATTTACTATGAAGCACGTTTTTAGACCAGTTAATATTATATTTCAATATATGTGAATATAAGCTCATAATGATCAGAAATTATTCACTATTTTATTAGTGAAATACTGTTAATAAAGATCGAATCAAGAATAATCGATCAGATATAAATGAAACTAAGTATAATAGAAATGGAGGAGTATGGTTTATACTGTATAAACTACCAAAACGAGAGTTTATATGAATGTCTGCCAAATGCTATATCTTTGGCTAAAAAGCTTGTTAAAAACTGAGTGAGAAACAAGCAGCATATGGAAGTGCAATACCGAAAATTCTGCGTAAAATGGATGATACATCAGCTAACAATAATGTGAGTATGATGCAACTATTCGTATCACAGATGAAGACAAGAAGAAAGATTGTTCGTCTTCTTTTACAAAGGTACTATAGAAAAATGCAAACAAGATGTTAAGTGACATGCGACACATTTTTTAACACTTGACAACAGTCTTATGAAGAGAAAAAAGTCAAATGAATTCAAACGTGAGAAATACAAGAAGAAACAAAAAGATAAAGGAACGAGAAAAGCTGAAAAAATGACTCTATTGAGAGCACGTGTTGTCATTGAAAGCAAAAACTCACTTTTCTCTAATACGTTTTATTAGATTATACTGAACTGGTAAAGAATCAATAAGTTTTCCATCACTATCCGTACAAAAATATCGTTGTTTGTTTAAAAATAACTGCACATTGGAATATAGTAATTCTAGGTATACACGAGTTATAGTTTTTTACCAGTTAACTGTAACTGTGAAAACTGTAACTGCTCGTAACTGTAGATAAATATTCTAAGGTGAGTTAGTCTTCTACGATTTGCATACATTCTAAGAACAGAGACATCCTTCAAACGTATGCAAATTTCATACAAAATGCAATAGTTAGAAGGCTAACTCACTGTAGAATATTTGTCAACGGTTATGAGTAGTTACAGTTATAACAGTTACACAGTTATGACAGGTACAGTTTTACAGTTAACTGTAACTGGTGTTTGCCTAAGTAATTCAGACATTTTATACGGAGGAAAGAAAGTCTTCTTTTCGCAGACTAGACGGCTTCACGGAGCCCGTTTGAATCAAAATTGGCATCTACAGTAAGTTTCAAACATTCAAAGCGTAAAACAACCACTTGTCACATGGTTTGCTAAGCATATCTGTTATTAATAGAATCACCATGATACAGTTTAAAGCTCGTCAGTTTTTCGAGACTGTAATCCCAAAAATCGGAGTAAGACCAGAACCGTTTTCTGGCAAATCTGATAAAGTAAAAGAAATGATACAAAACTCGCCATGTTTTCATTTCAGACTCACTCTTGTATAATCAATTAC